TTTCTTTCAGAGAAAAATAAGCTTCCCAACATGCGCTTCAAGCTGCAGTAAATTGATACCATGTTTCTTTAAATAATCATTCTTTGATCTATTTCGTTTCCAACATGATGACGAAGAAATTATCACTGTTATAGAAATGGCAATGGTCCTACAATTTATCAATTAAAAGAAATTGCTGGTTTAATCAGCCGTAATTGGATAACCCATCATTCCAGAAACGCTATCACGTGGTCCATATCTTCATTCCTTCAATTGCAATTAAGTTTATATAAGATAAATCAGGAGATAAAGTTACATAAATTTTTCTACTCTTGTGAAGGAAATTAAAGTGACGCTGATACAAAAACAAAGAAGAAAAGAAGAAAAGCCCAGATGCCAGAATGTAAAACAGAATTAAAAGCAGGAGTTTAATTGAAAAATTATTTGCAACTTAAATCGAAAGCATGTTTTAGTTTTAATTTTTATATCTTTAATGGAATCTTTTAATGGAATTGCGAAGCATCTATTTTTATGAAATTTGGCAAACTCAATATCCAAAAATGTGATTTTGTATTTTTGCTAAGAGATAAGCAGTTTTAAATTATGTAAGAGTTGCAATTATTGACCGAAATTTTACTCACCATTTTAGTTCCTTTTTGTCATATGAAAGATAGGAAGTACGTAATAAAACCCGTCTTAATCGAAGCAAGGAGAAAAGTGAACCTGAATCCGTGATTTACCGAAACAAATTATATGAAATTTTAATCAATTTTATAGTACCATTTTTTAAAAGGTACATAAATATAATGAGTTTTCATTAAAAATTGTGATCTCAAAGTTTTGGAGAGTAAAATAAATAATTTTAAAATTCTCTTTGTCTAGTAGATTGCTTCCATTATTTATAGCAAAATCTCTCGTAATTTCAACACAATTTATAGGCAGTACCAAAATAGAGGCACATTTGAAAGTTTTGCATTTCAATCTAAATTTTAGGCTTATGAAATAAAAAGCATGTAATGGGCTAGCGATCTGAAAACTTAAATGGGAAAAAAGTGTCTATTAGGTTTCTTCCTCCCAACGTAACAAATCTTGTCCAACCAATAAATTATCCAAGATGTAAAGATTAACTAGCAATTCTTTTTATGCGTCGATGAAACTCTAAAGGTTCTGTCCGACTTTCAGAAACAATTGACACTAAAAAACCAATGTTTACTTTTGCTCTTGCCTGGAAAGATGTAAAGGGCAAGACTTTCTGTCGCTGTTGGTGTAAATTGCTGCCTATAATCATGTTTGCAGAGGGCGAAGATTTCGAGTGACAAAGATTCTCGTGGCTTTACAACGTGTCTGGCGACCGCTTTCGAAATCTTGGATTATGTTTAAATTTATATAACCTTGAATTATATTTTATATGTTCGGAGAATATTACTGTTGGCGAAGTGGAGATGCAGACTTAGAAGGATGTTGACAATTTTATTTGCGTTATATTCTGTATAAATGACAAAAAGTAATCATATATCTACTAAGAAAGTAGAAAGATGAGGAGGAGAGAGAGGATGAAGATGACAATCAGAATAATAAAGTTACGTGGAAGGAAGCTAGCAAAGGATTGCTGAGCAATTAAGGTTAATAAGGTTTGTTAAACAATGTTTATCTACGTCTGTACATCATGTAATGAACCTTCGTTGTACACCCTATGAGGTATTTCTCCCGCCTTCTTAGCATGCCTTCGTGGTGTGGTGGTCTGCACGCTGGGTCCAGAGGTCCGGGTACGATTCCCGGCGAAGGCTTTGCTAATTTTTCAGTCTCTCTTGCTTATAAAAATAACTAATGTCTCTACAACCCAGCAAAGTTTTAAAATTGAAATAACCATCCCGCAAGCAGGCAGACATTCAAAGTAATTTGCATGTGGTAATTATAGAGTAATTTTAAAACGTTCTTTAATTTTATTATTTTCTGAAACATAAAAATCACTTGTACGTCTTGTAAGTAATGTACAAGGATTTTAATGTTATTAATTTAATAGTGTCCAATATATAAAAAAAAATATGACCAATGGACATTGTTGAAATTTCTACAGATGGCATCCCAAAATCTGAACAGAAAAGTTCTACACATATATATTCATTTATCAGGAAAAATATCGAATCCGTTATTGAGAAGGTCTCATTGCTGTTGATTAAGCCAAATATAGTATCATGTTCTTAATTATTGCAAGAAAACAATTCATAAAGAAACCACACTTCCAAATACTATACCTACGTAAATGCTCTGCGTTGTGCTCTTTCGATCAACAGGTATGATGCGCTGCTACTTCTGGATTTGAAAGTTGTAAAGTAAATTTTATGGGTTGTCCGAAAACAGTATTATCCTCAAAATAATAATAAACAATCAAAATAGTTCAAAAATAAATGGAATTTTAGTCTAATTTTTTCGTGGTCATTCTTATTTTTTTACGAATAGTTGCTAAAAAATATTGCATATAATCCAACAAAAATAACCATTCATCACTTTATAATGAAGGCATGTTTTAAATTTGTTTGTCATGCATGTGTGTGTACGTTAGGGCTTAGAAATTTAGGTAATAATGGCTTTTGGATCTCTTAAACTCATTCATCGAATTATATCTCTATGTATGGCTTGCAAGTACTTTTTCAATAAAAAAAAATCGAAATGAGTGTCAATAAAAACTCAGATTAAAATGAGTTCCAATAAAAACTCATTTTAACCTGAAATAATATTTGCACTAAAAATGTTTAAAACGTATATAAAACTCCCAAGATTCATCAGCTGTACACTCCATATGACCACATTTATCAACTTTTTTTTTTTTTTTTTTTTTTTTTTTTTTTTTTATTTACCCAATCAATTTTTATCTCAGTCGGTAATGGCTCTCGGATTCTCTAATTTTCTCTTCTTCCAGCTCTGAAAAGTCCTTTCAATTCCAAGATGAATATGAACAATTTCAGAAATGTTTAGTAACTCTTAAAATCTCTGTTGAATTGTGTGACTACTTAAGGTTTGTTTATGTAAGTTATTAAGTATTTCAGTAATAAATTTTATTAAATTAGGTTATTTGATTATTGCAAAGCACACGAGGATATTTAAATATTGCAAAGTGCTATCTGCTTAAGGGAAGAGATGCCTTCTTTAATAAGTTTCTGAGGAAATCTGTTTCTTAATTATATGACACATGGGAAAAACAACGAGCAGAAACTCGGCAGCCAGCCTGTTCTCCTAGTTTCGAGCACAGCTCAGAAATCAGCGGTCAGGTAGTAGTATTCAGCGTCTTAATTGCTCAGTTTATTATAGTGGAACACAATAAGCTGTGAAACACCGTTTCGTTCAAATATGTTTTATTATAATTAAGACACAATAACACGCCGAACAAATACTAATTCAGAAGTCAAACAACAAAAGTTAGCGTTATATTTTCAAAATTTCACAGTACTAGTTTCGATGGTTTTACCGAACCACCATCCTCAGCTGCAAAACCGAAAAATGTTGCGGTTTTGCAGTGGCTGCAGCTTATTGAAATTTGCATTAGCTGTCGAAGCTGAAGGGGCACTAATCACGCATCGGCTGTTTTACCTTTCAACAGAAAGCAACACTTCTTAGCATCCGCATACTTTGAAGCTTACTGACAGCTGATGCGAACTGAAATTCTGCAACCATATTTCATGGCAAATTATAGCGTATCATAAAAAACATTAGTTAATTTTCCGCTATTTCTCTCAAAACCTAAAGCAGGAGTAGTCAACCTCTTTACAACTACTGTCTACTTTGTAGGAAGTAAAATTTCCTTACCGCCCACCGGATTTGCAGTAATTTAATTTAGCCTAAAGGCAAAGTAATGTTTTGAGTGGAGGCTTAGTAAAACTATTTATAGTTAAATGGGCTACGCCCTAACAAAACAAAACAAAACATTCATTTATATTTTACTTATATTTATAATATACAGAAAATTTATGTCCCGCTTAGCTAGCCGGGGCATCGGTTCCAGCGAAACTGCTTCGGCTAGGAACCCTTCAATTATAGGAAGATGAGGAATTTGTATATCGGAAAATTTATCCTAGCCTCACGCTTTGTTAAGATGTGATAATCCCATTATACGCTCTATAGTCCCAGAACTACACCTAAGAGAAATGGCAAAGCTTTTATAAATATATTGATGGAACAAGAGAGAGCGAGAGCTGCACGCAGGAAAACGGACTTTCATCATACGATGCCCAAAATCCTCTACCGCTCACCATTCAAGCCTAAATTGTCTACTACTGAGCAGGTTGACTATCCCTGACCTAAAGCCAACACGCTATAAAATTGTCTCTTTTAATAAACGTAGAAATGAAAACAAACTTGTTTTAGGAAGATATAAAAATATGCTGTATCAAATACAGTTATAAGATAAAAATGTAATTTACTATCAAAAATTGACAATTTCAGGTGTTTGCTTTTAAATCTCTTTATCTCGGAATGAGGTTTGCAAAAATTTTTCATGTTGCATTTCAGCCCATGAGAAGTTTTCATGTCATCTCTTTAACAGAATTACAAAGATTTTAAAAAATGCGAATGGAAAAAAATGGGTTTTAAAAATATTGTTTGTTAAATAAATATACTAAGAGTTTAAATTCTAATAACTGTTGAATAAAACTTTGTTATTTAAATTATTCTTGAGTAAAACATTTTTTCTTGCGGTTAAGCTAAATCTTTCATGAATTCTTTTCCGTATCATAAATCAACATAATTTGGAGAAAGTAATACTTATAAATGAGACAGCTTCCTGTTTCCTTGCATAAGCACGATCCACAGCAAAGAATGTCAACAAAATAATACGAAATACTTTTAAAATGCAATAATGCTTAACAGAAAAATAAGAGGATTTTAGCTGCTGAAAGTTTAAATGAAACACTTTGTATTCCATTGACTTAATATCTGGAAATATTTTACATTACAAAACTATACTAAATATAAACTATATTAAAATATTATAAAATTATTATGTTATAATAATTTAATTTACTTACCTTTCACTTTAAAATTAAGTAAAAGAACACTGCTTAATACCTTTCTTTAACGTGGGCATGGTTCATTAGAGAGCTATTGGATGGGAAGTTTGAAAAATGGTGTATCGCCTCGAATTCGAATAAGAAGTGAGAGGATTGATTTCACAAGGGTTTCGTTATATATTCGTTAATGAAAACCAATTTCCATTAGAAACTCCTCCACAAAGACTTTCTGTATACAGTGATAACTCTCGAGCTCTTTCCGTTAATAGTTAGTCTGTTCATTTATAAATATTTTGTAACGTGTTATGCATAATGTTTTAAAATAGTTTTTCTGTCTTTCTGGGAGATATTTGTCATATCTTTTCAGTCGCAGAACTTTTTTCCAAATCAAACTCTCCAATGAATCCGTTACAGCTTCTTAGCAAAGAATACACTGCATCAGTAGTCTAGCTATTATGTACACTTATTAATGTTTGAACAGTGGCTCAATGTTGATGATATTCGCCCACTTTCTATTGCTAATCCTACAGGAATTTATTCAAAATTAAACAGACACTTTAGTGTAAATAAAGCGCTTATTTTGCAGCCGTCAGCTTTTAGATTTTTGTAATTTTTTCTTTGTTTTATCAGTGTAAGTGTAAAGGTAATCCGTATCAATGCATGAAAGTAAAACATTGTACTGTCACGGTCACACCAGTTGACAGAAGACTTTAAAAATTTACAAGTAGTTACAAAATAGGTTCAATTAGGCGTACGTTTTCACGCATTTCGAATTTGAATTCGCGAAAGAGTACTAAAAAGCTAGATAGCTTGTGTTAAGAGTCAACCGAATAATAAAGTGTTATGCCTATGCGAGAAGTTGCCAGGTTTCATAATAATCAGGAACTTACTTACCTTTTATAATCAGGAACTTACCTGCGAGAAGCACCCTAAATATCTGGGGATTATGCTAGACCTTCAATTCATATCACAAGAATTTTGAACACATTGTTCTGAAAATAGAAAGCGTCTAAATAGTCCTAAATACATTGCAGGTAAGGACTGGGAAGTAGATGCGACTACCCTCAGAACTACTTATTTGACACTCAATCGCCCAATACTCGAATTCGAGTTTCCAATTTATTGTTATGCCTCTGATTCCAAGCTGAAGGAATTAAAAAGTTCAGTTAAGTGCTGCCCGTATTATTACTGGGTTGAGGCATAGCTGCCCTATGGAAACAGCCTTTTTTGAGGCCGATTTACAGCTTCTTCAGACTAAAAGACTAGCTGGTCTTGTCAAATACTTTAACAAACAGTCTAGTAATGGCCAATGCAACAAAACTTCTGCGTGCCCAAATAAATGGAGAAACCGACAAAGAAAAACACCCCTTTTTTGCCTAGTTAGTTCCAAGAGCCTACTATTTTGCAATATTGAGAGCCCATTCACTACAATGATATTTAAACCCATCGGAGGGACTCTCCAGGGTTTACTTTCGCTGTAACATTTCCACTCCTATAAATAAGAAAGATTAGATTACTGACTACCTTATACAGTTCGCCTTGGAGGTAATAGACAATATTCTCAAAACTGCTTCCAAAATCTTCACAGATGGCAGCAAAATTCCTGACTATGCGGATAGCGGCATTTATATTGAGACCCCCTTCAAGTAAAAATGACATTCCGTTAACGTAATCCAGATGACTGTTCAATTTTCAGAAGAGAACTTATACCAATCAACTTATGACTCGAAGCTGTACTAACTGAAAAGAAGTTTGAAGATCTATGGATCTTATCTGATAGCCGAAGCTGACTTCAACATCTTAGTAATTGAATTTACGTAGACGATAAGACTAGTATTTCTGTCCTATAAAAACTACATCTAATTTCGCAGCATCACGATATTTATTTTCAGTGGATAGTATCTCATGGCAACGAAATGGCAGACAAACTAGCAAAGGAGGGCTGTGGTCTTTTAACTCTTTCCTCTTCCGCCCTTACCTATCTGGAATTATATTCTCTGAAAAACATCACAAATAATGTTGGAGTGGTTGGTCCCCCCCCATCTCTGGTGTCTAGGTAGCAAGCCTGGTTGGACTCTAACCCTTGAGTGTGACAGGAGCTCCCGAATTGTGCTCTCCCGTATTGCCAGTGGTCATATCTTGAACCTCTCTTTCAAGAAGAACATGAAAATATTTTCCACATGCTCCAAATGCAGAGAACATCAAGCGTCTGCCGAGCACATATTAGGCTGTTTGGGACTTTAAGAGAGGATATTTATCCCATCCCCTCCTTGTGCTCGACTTTATTAGAGTCGACGGTCTTTTGGACCTGGTCTGACTTCGTCAGAAACCGGAGGAAAAGCAACAACAACAACATTACTTGGGATAAAATTTTCTGAAGCTTGTAAATTTTCCCATGTTTTTCTGCCTGCATACATATAATACACATATACATAAACACAATGATAATATTCTGATTTTTCAAAAATTATTTGGTACATGTATCAAGACATTACTTACTTAAGGTGACAGCGCTGAGTATAATTTCTATTCCATCATTGTTTGTGTCCTCAGCCAGCTAAATTACAATACATTATATGTTCATGTTGCGTGAAAATGGAAATTTATGCAGGTATGAGAAACTTCAGAGACCAAAAATTTATCTCTGTGTGTATACTACGGACGTTATATACATATGTGAGAATGGAAATTTCTCACACCACGTAGCGCATTCATCGGGGACGATATCGTAACAGTAATCGTAATCGTGTAATTTCACGTGCATATATAAATACCAGTCAAACGGGTTTTTCCCTCTCTCTCTTGGCTGACCTCTGCTCGCACGAGTACGCGGGGCTACGTGCTTGCATATATCACACTCATGGACTGATGTCTTTCTTTTGGATGGAAAAGAAGGAGCTGCCTAAAAATTGCATAAATTAGCAGAAAATGATTGGGTGGAAAATTAATACATATTGGAAAATCATGATAATGCAACCTGCATAGAAGTAACGTGTTAATGTGTTATTTGCATCAAGAATCTGTTACCATTTTGTGTCATCAGTTTATCTCCTCGTGTGGTCACATTGTAATGAACAGAAGAATGTGTAAAAAAGACATATCTGAACGTGTGTAAAGCTCTATCTGCAATATGTATGATTAACGTAAAAATATTTCCAGTAAGCAAAGTGCAAGATGTGAACATAATTTAAAATTCGTGTTCTAACTTCAATAGACTCCCCCCCGGGGGTCGACGTAGAGAACTCTGCGAAGCTACTGGCTAGGATCTGTACCTAGGCAGTCTCGGCCACGCGGGTATAAAATTTATGAACTTGGTGGTTCTGAAGGCTCTGGGAAAGATCACTTATTGGCCGGCCTCGGAGTCTGGCACGTCCTAGCGCGGCGTGGTACTAGTAGCCCGGGGGTTTTCCCCCGGGTTCGCTGGGTAATGTCCCGCTGCGACGGGCTCGCCCAAGCGACTGGTAGGAGCATTAGACGACCGTGCTGCCTGGTTTCTTATCCAGGTGGTGCGCTGCTCCCTTGGAGGGTAATAGTGGAGGTTGAACCTCCACGATGTGCCCAAAGGAGAAGTAGACCTGTAGTGTGATTTAGTTCACGGGGCAGGGAAGCCTAAAATTACTTACTTACTTACTAACTTCAATAGACGGCGCAGTTCTTTCGTATTATCGTTCTTCCGTCTTTCCGTATTCATGTTCTTCTATTTTGTTTCTTGTAGTTGTGTGCTATGTTAACAAATTGAATATCTAACCCAGATTGCATATCAATAATTAATTCAATAAAATGAAATTGAGCTAACAAGTTGTTCTATGAAGTCCTTTTGGGGTACCAATTTCTGTTGTATCGGATAAAGGATACGCGTGCGGACACATGGATACCACTTTTACGTCATTGTGATCATCGGTTGATTAGTTACGGACTAATTAGTATTAGTGTACAGTGAACAACGTGGTTGCGCCCAGCAGATGTGCTTTGTGTAATCGCCGTAAAGCCGTCGAAGCTCGCCACCTTTCGAAACTTATATCATCAGAGAGAGGACTTTTCAGCTTTAATTAGACACCAGTTACAGGTCAGTCCGATTAATAGCACGCAAGAAATTCATTTTTAAAGTTAATTAATCTTCCAGCCACGAGGTCCGGTGACCTCTGACCTTTCCAGCCTGTTTCAACGGCCGCCGCCGCATTCCAGCGACCCCCCTGTCGACGGTGATTCCCTTTCACCGAACAAAGGAAGAAAGAAGGACTGCAGATAAGAAGTACAAAATTGCTAATTACGCATCTAATTAGTGTAACTCATTGGGAACCTTTAGTTTTAGCATCTACTAGTGACAAGGATCACGGCGATATAATTTTTGTAATTTACGGATGATTATTTCTGGAGTTATTAATTTCGCGTTAATTAGGACTTAGATTCTGTTTATTCAACGGTTTGTGTTTATGTGCGAGTGTTTTTTTTTATTATTATTATTATTTTATTTTTATTTTTTAAACAAGTGTCTGTATCTTAATCTGGATTACGCCGTTCCTGACAAGCACAGAAGAGGAACAGATGATGATTTAACGGCCAAGGTAGGCACTTATTGTTTTATTTCGGGATTTAATTAGTAGTGAGGTCAGCTAATTAGCAGGCACTTTCCCTTTCGAAGTGTGCCCTTTATTCTGACTTGGTCAAGGACATTTTGTTGGTATTTTGACAGCTATATTTATAAAGACAGTAAGCTACTAATTTACTGGTTCCATCACACCTAATATTTTAATTAATTAATTTTCTAATTTATTTTTAATTTCTAATTTCCATGTAGTACAATTACAATAGCGTAAAGTACAGTGTTAAAGTTACGGTAGAGACTCTAATCTTTCAATTTACAGTATTATTACTATGTTCTGGTTTTTGTAATTAAGTTTCTCAATTAAATTAAATTGCAGTTGTATGTGACGCAGCTCCTGTGATTTACTACGCTGCGTAGGTAGCAATTGATAGTTTACAACAATAATTAAGAAGTGCTGTTACGTGTCACATTTTGCTTTGATTTAAGTAATTATTTTTCTGATTAATTAAGTCTTATGTAATTATTGTTTAATATTAGTATATGTAGCATTTTTAATTCTCAATGTGCTAATGTGAATTGTGTTATGTGCTTATATTTTACTCAAACTGTCTTAGCGCGGTGATATTAGTGTTGGCATACAGTGTTACATACCGATAAGTGCCTTAGTAGAGGGTTTTCTAAAGAAGTGATCTGTGTTTCTACAGTGAGTGCTAAGCCAAGTGTGTTATTAAAAGTGAAAGTTAAGCAAGAGTGATATGAAAGTGTGATAATAGTGTTATTAGTGTCTCCAGTGAGATCATACCAGTTGTTTCAATATTACTGGTATTCTCACTTTCATACTTTGCCACTGCAGTATTGTCAAAGTGTACTCAAACTGAAGAA